CACATCCCCATCCTGGAATTTCACATCCTGATTCCGACCTTCCTGGCCTTTCTTTTGCTGGTTCTGTTGGGGCTGATGGTAAAAAGAGCCATTCAAAGGAGGAAAGGTGAGCAGCTTGAGGCTCTAGGCTTGGGATGGGAGAGCTGAGATACCCAAAGAGCCCAGAGCGTTCAGATCCAGCTTGAACTCCCAGGGACCGTGGGATGGGAGATGGAGCCCGGGAGGGCTTTGCCCTTCCTCCTTCGCTCTGCACCCTGGGCATCTATGCTCAGACCATACGCTGCCAGGCCTCAGAGAAGTGTGTAGCCCTCAATTTGGGGGAAGGAGACGCAGCGTCTGATGCCATGTCCTTCTCTCTTCCCGGTGACTTCCTGAAGCCTTCTCCAGGCGCATGGGCCGGGTGGCGATGAGGATTCGAGGCCAGGGGGCGTCCCGCCCGTTCCCGGCACAGCGCCGGGGTGCCCCGCAGAGGCCGCGCTCGCAGAACAACGTCTACAGCGCCTGCCCGCGGCGTGCACCGATCCCCGACCGAGTGGGTGAGCGCACGCACTAGTGAAGCGTGGAGACGGGCTCCAGCGTGGAGCAGGGGACAGGTGGCGGGCAGGCCTGCAGAGGCCCGGCCCTCACCACTTTCTTCTGACCTGTAGGCCCAGCAGAGGCTCCGCTCCTCAGTGCCCCAGGCTCAGCATCTCCCGCCCCGCAGCAGGTACAGGTAAGCTCCACCAGCCCCGGCCGGTGCTCCCGGGTCTCCCAACCGGTTATATCCAGTTCCTAGGTTTAAGCCCTCTGGAGGGTGACTCCACAAGAACTGTGGTTACTTTTACCTACTGGCCAAGCATTTCTTTTGTGATAAATGAATGACATGGCTTTAGTCTAGAAGAGAATGATAAAAGGTGTGTATCTCTGCAGTGGCCATGATGTAAAAGGGACACATAGGTTTCTAGAAGGCTAGAGAAGGTGGAAGCTACCAGGACAGTTTTACCTCAGTGTGAGGGAGAACATTCAAGACAACTCTTAAAATGAGAGGAAGTCATAGTAACGTGATCATTAGGTTTTATCCAAAGTGACTGGGCAGAGATGCAGACATTCAGCACTACAGGTATGTCCTTTCGTTTTCTAAATTAAGGAAATATTCTTTATTCTCAACGTCCAAAACATTGGATTTTGTAGTCAGAAAAATATTAATAAGGGTTCCGTGTGTGTGTGTGTGTGTGTGTGTGTGTGTGTGTGTGTGTAATTAGTGTTTAATTAATTAAATATAACAGACCCAAAAATGCAGAGCTCAGGACATGGAGGCCAATTTTCCTCTGAAGTCAGGGTTCAAACCAGAGAGATAGGAAGAACTGGGTTAATCCATGACATCATCCAGTGACATTTTGCTCTAACAACCCCAACAAACTTCCATGTCCATGGCCAGTATTCAGCCACCAGACCAAGTTCTCATTTCTACCCAGAGGGAAAAATGGCTTCTTTATGACCATGACCCTGAATTTTCATATCCCACTTCCACTTGCCTCTCATTAGCTGCCTTGCAAACACATCTGCCTTCAAGGGAGGTTATGAGTGTCATGCCTGGTTGGTAATATATTGATTAAATGATGATGTGTCTGGCTAAAAAGGGAAGAAGTCCTGTAGTCACCTCCAGCGTCTTGAATGTGTTCCCTCACCCATGTAACCCCCAAAACAGTCCTCAAGGCTTGGGAATGAATGGCCCAGCAGAGCCTGTCTGTTCTTCCCCAGAGCTAGTCTTTTCCTGTGGATCTGCCCTATGATCATACAGACCCTCCTCTTGGCTGCCTCTTGCTCAAAGCTAACCCTGCCTCCCTCTGTGAGACCCTCCTTCTCTCAATTAGGGTGGAAAAAATCCTGACAGAACAAATTTACAGGGTACATGTGCTCAATGACTTATTTCAGTCTTCATATTGAATATTTTTTAAATTTATTTTTAGTGTATTGGTGGTTTGCCTGCTTATGTCTGTAGGAGAGTGTCGGATTCCCTAAAATTGAATTACAGACCGCTGTGAGCTACCATGTGGGTGCTGGGAATTGAACCTGGGTCCTTTGAAAGAGCAGCCAGTGCTCTTAATCTCTGAGCCATATCTCTCCAGGCCCATAGTGAATATTTTTACTGTCTAAACCAAATAAGTCGACATTCAGTGGGAGATGTGGTTTTGAAGCAAGCTTCTGCCTGTGTCTCTTTTTTGGTAAAATACACAATGTAGAAGTTCTTTCTAACAGACGCTTCCTGCATTCAAAGGACTGTGCTCCTAGTTCTTAGAACTTCAGATGACTGATCACAGTGTCTGCCATGGCATTCTTCTGTGGCTAGTGCAGTACGTGTACCATGTTGGAGTCTTGACACAGCCTTGTCTTCTGAGAACTAGCTGCCATGAAGGGGGAGTCCTGACGCTTCTGTCTGACAAAGAGAAGCACCCTAGTGCCCACGTGACCCGTAATCTTCCTTCCTCAGATACCCAGCCCTTTTCTGGAATGCATTCTGGTGCCATGCCATGCCCTCTCCATGTCCTTACAGAGGTATAAGAAATGACTCACCCTACCTCTGAATAGTTGATGGAAAAGATGCGTATTTTCCTTACAAGTCATATCCCTTTATCCCCCAAGGGGAGACTTCTTCAGGTGGGCCTCCTTCATACTTGTGCTCAGCCCTATGATTGCAGTCTGAACCCATGTAAAGCATCCTTCCCGCATTAGAATGAAGCAGTTTCCAGTTATTTGTAGGTGTGAGATTGCACCCTGAAAAACCCCAGGGCTGGCCCACTTAATGAAGTTCAGCTAATTTTTCGTCATTGACATCTGGAACTCAGCAACCATGTCCATGTTCGTCCATTTCCTGCAATGGAAATCCACCTAAACAGGTGTTAAAATCCCCCAGCCAGAGCTAGTGACATTCCTTTGGTTGTTCCCAGGTACTTGAGGCCCCCTGGCCTCACACCCCGCCTCTGAAGACAAGCTGTGAATACGTGACCTTGTGCCACCAGCCTGCTGTCAACGTGGGAGACACTGATTCAGATGATTACATCAATATTCCTGGCCCACATCATCTCCCCAGCTGTCTCCCAGGGCCCAGATCTTCGTGCCAATGAGTCCTGCCTGTCGGCTGATTTCCAGCACCTCTTCCATTTGTTATAGGATCCCTGTCACCTCCCACGTCCCCTACCCCAACTTGAGTCTCACCTGACTGTCTGAATGCCTTGAGAATGGTCCTGTTACAAGCTAATTTTTTCACCACCACCACCCCCATTGAAGCCCCCTGCATTCATCAGGAGAGCTCTGGACATGCAGAGCATTCAGTAGTCATGATGGCGAGCATTCATTAGTCATGATGGCACCTGTCCTTTCTGTGCCATCTAACAGCTATGGGACTTACAAGGTGTTTCATCACTGTCTTTGGTCACATGATCTTCGCTGCCCTACCCCTAGCTCATGTGGCATCAGGCTGGAACATAAGCCTGGCTGACATCTCCAGGCCAAGATCCAAAGTGCATACTGAGCTACTTTTCTTGAGTCCCATGGCAAGGGCAACTTATTTGATATGATGACTTATATCTAAATTTTTAAAACTAACCTTTTGTTTGTGTTTGGGCTATACACCCACATGAATCCTCTTTAACTCTCCATCACTTGGTACAGATAACAAGACTCCAGCATCTTTCTCCTTTTAGAAAGTCTTGGTTATCTCCCTACCTTCTTCGACATTTTAATACTTTCACTTTGATTTTAGCTGAACCATCACCTCTCTTGTCAATTCCAGACAACTCATGGCAAGACATGGGAGAAAAGCACCTGGGGGATGGAAGAAGAGACATCCCACTTTTTAGATCAAAGATAGAGTCAGACACTTCTTGAACTGACATCAGCTGCAGAGTGCAGCCACAGCATGAGGCAAGAGAATGCCAGATCTTGCCTTTGAGAAGAAGGTCTTTCCCAGATACCCAACATAAGCTCCCTGGACACTTTTCTTGAAATAGAATGGAGTGGCTACCTGAGTCGAGTTGCCTTTCTTAGCGAGGAATGTCATCACAGATTGGACAGTGCAACCGGGTCCAATGTTACTATCTGCTTGATACATTGTATTAGACAGATAAGGAGAGAATGGTATCATAAGAAAAGAGGGGTGCTCAGAGAAATCGGGGAGTGGGATGGGTGGGGAAATCAAGGAAAAGGTGAAGTGTCGGGGATGAATCTGCCTTATTTAGCCCACATGGTAGTTTTCATCGTTTATTCTTCAAATCAGTGTCCTTTGCTGGAGCAACAACTCAGAGGTTAAGAGCACTGGCTGCTCTTCCCGAAGACCTGGGTTGGATCCTCAGCACCCACAGGGCAGCTCACAACTGCCTCTAACTCTAGTCCCAGGGGATCCGACGCCCTCATCTGGCCTCCATGGGTACTGCATGCCAAGCATGAAGTGTATAGACATATAGGTAGGCGAAACACCCATACACACAAAAATAAACAAAATCTCAAATCAGTGCCCTCCATGCCCCAGCACTCTGTCCCTGCATGCTTTCCATGCACTGAAGTTTAGCTTCATAACCCATCATTCATTGTTCCCCAATAATCCACAAGAGACAACAATAAATAAAAACAACGCAGTTTAAATATTTCCTGAGCAACCATCCACTGCCCCCACGCCGTAGCCAGAGCACAGGAAATAAGGCGGAAGCATGGGACACTACGTTCTGCTGCTTTCCCGGAACTTCCAGTCTCACAAATAAATACGGTTTCCACTGAAACAGTGACAATGATTAAATAAAGGTGTAATAAATACACAAGTCCACTTTAGGGGTTCACCACAGCATTCCAAGGTGCCTGCCATGACTGTCATTTGGACTGCTGGAGAGTGAAGTCTGAGGAGAAGCCTGAGCCAGCAACGGAGTCAGTCCATGGCCAAGAGTCTGAAGTGTCCTGAGGACAGTCTGGGTGTTAACAATGGCTTGAAATGGCGTGGAGAACAAATAGGAAGTTATCCTGATGGACAGTCAGAGCTGGTAGAAGTTCTGCATCCAGGTCAGGAGAATGTCCACTTCCCCAAAGGCTTTCACCAAAGCCGCTTCTGTGTCCATCTGCAGCGAATCGAGAGTTAGGGGTCAGGTATGTTGACTGAGAATAGCTTCATTCCAACCTGGCCTGCCTGAAAGGGACCTGACTCCAAATTAGCTGAATCCCCTGGGGAACGGCCTCTGATAAACAGATCCACCCATCACGTGTACCCCAGGGTGAGGAAAGGGGACTATTGAGTAGGAGGTAGAGGGCCAGAGAAGAACACAGCTCCTGGAACATAAGAACCATGGGATGCAGCCCAGGGAAGATGTGGTGAACTCATTGGGCAGGTAAGAAATGAGCCCACGTTGCATTCCACCATATATTTGTAGACTGGTATATCTGCTCTTCCACAAAGCAATCAAAACCAAGGATGCTTTCTTTGAGGGTGAGGGTACTAGGGTTGAGATTTGGATTTTCTTTGGTGTGTTAATTTAGAAAGATGTAATATGATCTTCTGTATCTTTTATTCAAAATGAGACCATTTGAACATTGCAGAAATGATGCCGTTGTGTTGGGAGGTGAGTTGCCCACCTTCTTTCTCAATTCTGACATTAGGTGCCTGTAAAACTTTCTCTTAGGGAAAGTCCTCAACAGTGAACTATCTTGTAAGGAAATACAATAGCATTTCCATTTGCAAGGTCTATGGGGCACTCCTCTGTGGCAGTTCAAGCTAGCCTGCTTCTGTTGGGGAGGCAGGCTCCCAGTTCTTACCTGTTTGAATGCTTTTCGGAACAGCAAAAACCGCCGGTGTGCACTCTCACTAATGGAAAGCATGTCCTCGTCCTTCTGCATATCAGAAAAAAAAATGTTCCTAAAGTTAGACCAGAATGGAGGTTAGCCCCTCCAGATCAGGCAGGAGGTTCACCCCTCCTGCTCTTCCTGGTGATACCAGGGCAGGACTCCCAGATCCTGTGAGGACTGCACTGAGTTCCACACTCTCAGGGAAGCCAGAGCCAGATTCCCAGCATATAGCAGGGCTCTATCTTTCTTCACAGCACTCTCTATAGGTAGAAATGTTACCCCCATTTTACAGGTGGCAAAACTGAAGCCCAGAGAAGTTGAGCACTTTGCAAGGGTTCCCTAGCTGATCAGGGCAAATAGAGACCTGAACCTATAACCCTTTTTCATGACACCTAGGACTCTGTTGAGAATGGAAGCCGGGACTGAATGGAGGGAGGGGCAGATTCTCAAGCACATCCTTTCCCAGGCTCCAGCCATGATCTACTCACACTAGGCTGCAGTTTTGACACAATGACAAAAAAGTTGTTGGCCAGAGTGGAGAAGGACTTCGAGATCTTCAACTTGGCTACTTTGCTGTGGTAGTTTTTGAAAACAGTGTTCAAGTAGAATTTCAGCAAACTGTGGACAAGGTAACAGCTCTCAGCATCCTGGGGAAGAAGCAAATCATTGAGGCCTCTGTTAACCCTGACCCTCAAGGGAAAAACCCGTGTACTACTCAAGGTAAGATGGACACTATAGTGTCTCCTTGGGAATGATGGTGGCACTAGATAGATCTGAAGGGACAGCATGAGTCTTGTGGAACAACTTGACATTCACAGCGGGAGCCCAGACCCCAGAAAGATGTTACCCACCCAAGGTAACCCAGCCACCCCAGATGCTAGCCTGGCTCCCAGGACTCCCGGATCACCACCCAGATGAGATTCCCTTTCTTCTCTACTGTATGCCCTCATTAACATGATGGATCCTGAACAGCGTTTGAACTTGGACTTAGTGATTGAGAATTAGAAGGAAAATGGCAGGAAGGAGAAGAGTGAGAAACCTGATGCCCTTGAACACAACAAGTGCTACCTGACCCTTTCTGCCCAGGAAGCTTGGCGCCCTTCAGGAATCAGTCTATTCATGCTCACAGTCTATCTAGGCCAAGGGTTCTCAAATTTCCTAATGCTGCAACCCTTTAATACAGTTCCTCATGTTGTGGTGACCCCCAACCATATAATCATCATCATTGATGATTCATGACTGTAATTTTGCTACTATTACTAATTGTAATTAAATATCTGTGTTTTCTGATGGTCTTAGGTGACCCCTGTGAAAGGTCCATTTGACCCCCAAAGTGATCACGACCCACAGGTTGAGACCCTCTGGTCTATACATAGGGTCCTGTGTAGGGTCACCTCAGAACAGAAAGGAGGAGCTCCCATTAGCCCCTTGGGAGAGCTATCCCATTCTCTACTATTTGATTACCGAGACATTGTGAAGAACCTGCGACTTCAACAGCCGGACACTTGTGATGTCATCCTGAGTTTGCTTTGGGAACAGAAAGAAAAGATGTCTCCAGGTTAGGGATCTTCGTAGGAGCCAATCTTGCTGAAATACTGTCCCCCCAACTCCAAACGCTATCCCATCTGGGAGACTTTGGAGACCAGAGGGACCAGAGGAGGACCCAGGAAGGAACATAATGAGCTAGCTCCTGGGGAGGAGGTATGGGTCCTGTCTACAGAAAACCACTAAGCTTACTCATCCCAAAGGGGCACAAGGACCCCCTGATCACAGACTTGAAAAGGGGGGACCTTTGCTTCCTTTGGCCATATGAGACACAAGGAAATAAGCTTTTCAGCTTTAGGAGCCACAAAGGGTAAGGTTCATCTCCACAGTTCACATGGGAAGCAGATGGGAGCATGTGGCTGCACCTAGGAGCTGCCTCTTGCTCTTGGAGGACTCTCCAAAGCCCAGCCTCTCGTCTTACTCCTTATACTGGGAGCCAGAGCCCACCCAGGATGAAGCTGAGCCACTCAGGGTCCCCCTGCCTCCCCTTGGACTCTGCTTCTTTTGCTGGAGGCTGGCCACACATGACTGAGCCTCTGTTTTCCCGTGTGTAGCACTGGCCGTATGGAGCCTCCTGACCTCATCCGGGTTCTTGTGTATGGAACTGATTGAGAAAGTTGGAAAGGGATCCACGGTCCTGAAAAAAAAATACCCTCCCCCCATAAGGGAAGCACCATGAAAGGATCCAGGGCGAGCCTCTACTCACCACAGTGTTCTTCATAGCCGAGAAGGCCTCCCACAGTTCTGAGAGAACCACCCCTTCCACTCGGCAAGGCCCAAATCGGAACTCATGACCCTGGAGCCCTGGCACTTGGTTCCAGACAAGAAGGATGAGGCTCAGGCAGGAGAGAGTCTGTAGTATTGAGCTCATCTGCGTCGAAGAACGGACAGGTGCTTCTGCTGAAGGAAAGCAGACTTTAGCCTGAAGCCAACCTCTGCCTCGGAACTTGCCATCCCCAAATAATGTTCCAGGAGTTGATTCAAGCCACCATTAGGAGGACACAAATGGGATGCCTGGGGCTAGAGAAACGCTATGGTTTAAATGTCTCCATCGAAACTCCTATTTAAATTCCCTCCCTCCTGTGAGGTATGTAGAGGTAGAGCCTTTAAGAGGCTGCCACGTCTTTGCCTTCTTGAATGAATTCACGAATGTGTGGATTACTGGAGGAAGCTCACTTCCTCCTTTGACTTCTAGGACCTGCCTCTGAGTCACCGGGATGACCTTACGTGGATCTATTTCTCCTTCCAGAAGGCAAGCAGCAGCCCTCGCGCATCAACACAAGGAAGCCCAGGGCGACACACGGAAGGCAAGTCTGGGTCACACATTCAGCCCTGCCATCCAGCTGGCAGACCCACTCCTAACTCTAAGAATTGATCTTTCCAGTAAGCGAAACCAGAAGGAGGGGTAGGAGTTCCAGGTGAGTCATTTTTAAACTGCTTCTCTGAAGTGCCAATTGGAAGGACTGTGTGACGGGCCCTCAAGCAGGAGTCGGCCCCGGGCCTCGGTGACTGCCACAGCAGACTGCTTTCTGGGCCTCCCTGCCCTTCACTTTTCTTCTCTCCTTCCCCTTAACTCCTCCGCCCCATTTTCTACAACCATATCAGAGCCTTCTTATTTACACACTCTCCTCACACCCGAAGAAACTGTCTTCCAACCCCAGAAGGGCAGAGAGGGCAGAGAAGCCGGCGTTGGCATGACTGTGAACACCTGGGATAGGGAACAGGTGCCTAAGGCCAGAGGCCATCGTCAAAATTCTTCCTGTTCTCTTCTTAAGTGCTACAGGCTTCCCAGCTTCTCTTGAAGTTCATATCTGGGTCTATTATCCCCCTGGCCTTCCTCCCATCCAACCCCAAGTCTCCTTGGTGTTAAGTTGTAGTAAGCAACTCTTCATTCAGCCATTTCCTTATATAAAAGGTTGATATATGCCAATCCGCCCTTAAAACCCGTGTTCCCAAACAAGGCCACAGCCTAAAGCCTCAGAGCAAAGGCTGGGGAAGCCCCGCCACTCACCTCAGGTTCTGAAGTGATACTGGAGGCTGCAGTTAGAAAGCGGCTGGTTCTTTCTGTGACGGGAAAAGTTGAGCAAGCTCCCTCAGCATTCACTGGCAGAGGATATCCTTGTGGGTAGAAAGTTCCCGTCTCAACTGTGGAAGCGAGGCTTGGAGAACTGTATATAAGGGGGTCTGGCAGGGAGGGGCCGAGAAAGAGAGGAATGTGGGGAGAGGTGATGCTTTCTCCAGAGAATGACTTCACTGCCTAGTCACACTTTGCTCATAAAGAAGTCAGCCCCAGGTCTCCTCTCACCTGAGAGACTAATTTCTGCACGTTCCCACTGTCTACAAGCAAAGGGAATCACTTTCCAAGCCTCTCTGAACTGCAGTTCCTACATCTACAAAATTTCATTTTTAAACATTCAAAATTATGCCCAGTGTTACATGCCTGCCATCCCAGCACTTGGGAGGTAGAGGCAGGAGGATCAGAAGTTCAAAATGGTCCTTCTTGGCTACAGAGTCAGTTCAATACCTACCTAAATTACATGATCTCCTGTTGTTGTTGTTTTTTGTTTTTTTGTTTTTTTTTTTTTTTTTAAAAAAAGGTCCGATTTACTTTTCCCAGAGAAAAGGCATAAGGAGAAAACAGAGAAGCAAAACAGAAGTACTCTGTAATCCCTACACATGTAACATGTAACCATACCATTACTATGCAAAGTGTACCAGTCTGTTATACCATATACTATCAAATTCATTCAATACTTAATGCTCTATTCATGATGGAGCGATAGCCCAGAGACCAAGCTAACCCATGAACACCTTCCTTTAATCGTCAGGGCCAGGAATTTTAGGAGTTTCCTGACTTGCAACCACCCATAGTCTCTGGGATTACAATCACCCTAAGTATATTTCTCCTTAAGCACTGGGAAAAATAGTAATGGACAGGCACATAAACATGAGGACCTCGGTACCCTAACCTAGGCCTAGGCTGCATGATGGAATACTAGCCCCTCATGGGAATGGATACTGTTCTGGAGAGCTATATGGACTGAGGAGGCCTGTGGATAGGGTCTGGGGGCAGGTTGGGGGATGCGGGGAGGCAGCAGTGATTAACTTGGTTTAACACTCCCACACTTCCTGTAAGCCTTTGCCCATGTCCTGGAGGAACAGGGTTTGGGGAACAGTGGGTTATGAAGTCAAAGCTTGGCAATCAGGCTGAGACCAGATTCAACATGTGACTGCTCAGCTACAAACATCTTGTGTCTTAAAAGTAACTTTACATTTTTTTAAATAAATGGAGAGGAAAAATCGGAAGAAAAACAGTATTTTGTGACAGATGAAAAGAAAATGAAATTCAGATTTTAAATATGTCTTAGCAGGACATCATCGCACCTTACCCAGCTGCTTTGGAATGGCAGCAGAGGTTACGCAGCAGGGAGTGAGACGTGAGGTCCACGAAGTTTAAAACATCCACTCTGCGGTACTTTGCAGAAAGTTCACCACACCCTGCTAGAAATTACCCTCCTGCACAGTCTAGACACCTCCTTAGGCCTGAGTCCAGGCAAAAGAAACAGGGAGCGAAGTAACAAGACAGGAGGCGGGTTAACGTGGCCCAGCTGGGCGGGAGGGAGGATGGGACATGGCGCTGGCTGGTGGCAGAGCCTCGGGATGTCATCCTGCTGGGACAGCGGTGTCCTCTTAAAACACACTGTGTTGTTCCCAGCCAGCAGGCCCCACTATTGCCGCAACCAGCTTGAGTCCTCTTGTCGCTGGGGACGTTGAGTGTCACATTCTGGCCCAAAGCAGAGACTGGGTGACACTCTTTTCTTCCCCCTTCAGGATGCCGGTCTCCCTCCTGTCAAAAGAATTCAATAATTACGCCCCAGTTGTGATAGCCAAGAATTACCTTTCCATCCCTCCCTACATCATTCCTAAGACCCACTTCCACTCTTGGAAGGAATCAGGTTAAGAAGTAGAGCAATCGACAAAGTGGGGGGTGGGGGAGCAACTAGGCAGTGGAGGCAGGAGGCTGAGACGCCAGGGAGCCCCAGGCAGTGGAGGCAGGAGGCTGAGACGCCAGGGAGCCCCAGGCTAGCTGCCGCTCTATCCATCTTGGGGGGGGAGGGGGATATGCCTTTCTGTTCGCTGTGAATGTATGTTGTTCCCATTGGTTTGTAAATAAAGAAAGCAGGAATAAATAAATTGCTTTGGCCTATGGCAAGGCAGTGTAGAGGCAAGCAGGAAATCCAAGCAGAGATACAGAAAAGAGGTAGGCGGGATGGGAGAGATGCCAGCCCAACACTCAAGGAGCAACATGCCAGCGGCCACGCGGCAAAGCATCGATAAATAGAAATGGGTTGATTTAAGATGAATGAGCCAGCCAGCAAGAAGCCTGAGCCATAGGCCTAACAGTTTGTAATTAATATTGAGCCTCTGAGTAATTATTTTGTAAGCGGCTACAGGACCGAAGTGGGAGATATTCATCTGGACTGCGGGGCCAGGCGGGACAGGAGAAACTTCCGGCTACAGAGCTGCTGATGGACTGAGGGCTGGCTGACGAACCAGGCTGGAACAGTGGCAGAAGGCTGTAGGATACTGGCACGGCTCTGTCTGAGGAAGGGGGAATGCAACGCTGAGAGTCCAGTCTCAGGTGAGCCTGTCATCATACTGTTTCCTCAAAAGGAAGATGAGGAGAGAAAACAGAGAGCCCAGCCCAAACCCCCTGATTCTGACTGCGGACTCCAGCAGTAGCAGACCTGGCTTCCTGTGTGAGCCGTTCGGGTCCTCCCTCAGTCTTCATCTTCATAACAGAGGCCCCAGTGGGCCATGGGGACAGAGTGGCACTTAGTCCTGCCCCAGAGAGTGGTCCCTGAGCAAGTACCAACATCTGTTGACTGAACTGCACAGTGCCAAGCCTTTCCCAAAGCTACTGAACCAGAAGATTCTCGTTGTAAGAGATGCCTAAGGTGGTTCTCAGTACATTGTGAGACGTGCATCCGTAAAGCATCTGAAGGGCTTGTCCCAGGGCCCTCCACATGGCAAACATTTAGGACCAAGGGGTCCAAGTTAAGGGAGAAGGAGCTAAAGCAGGAGTTCTCAGTGAATGGTTTTGTCACCAGGGTTCTGCGGACAATGTTAGGGAAGGTTTTTGGTTGTCCTGACTGGTGGGCACTACTGACATGTAGTGGGCTGGATTGGGAGTGTGAATGAGCTCCTGCAATGCACATCTCTGCCCTCTCCAGGGAGAACTGTGCCATCCAACTCATCAATAGTGCTGTCCTGTAGAGCTCTGCAGAGGCCGGATTCTACACTCAGAAAACAGGTCTACTGGAATTTCATTCCCTCTCCGAGTTCCTCTGAACCAACATAGAAGGAGAAAAGGACTCAGCCACCGTGGAGCTGAGTTCCTCTCTGCTTCAGGAGGCAATCAAGAGCTCACTAAACCTGAATTGCCCCTTCCCAAGGGGTGGAAAAAAATGCCCAGCAAAGAGAGAAGTAATGAGCATGTTAATTAGAATTTCTTGAAAGCCAAAAGATAGGAGAGAGTCATGACATCACTTTTCTTCCAATGAATTGAGCATAATCTTCAAGACAGATGTTTATCTCTCCACTGATGGGAAAACCCATGTTGTAATGGATGTGGAATACCTGGGCACTCTGTGAGTCCTTGGCCCTGCCTGCAAAACCAGTGAGAGAGGGCCAGTCTTCTGAATTTTAGTTCATCCCCTCCCCTCTCCCCTTCCTCCCTCCTCTCCCCTCCTCTCCTCTCTTTCTAAATAGAGTTTCACTAAGTTCCCCAGACTGGCCTTAAACTGTTGATGTTTCCACCTCAGGTTCCCAAATGCCAGAATTTCTACGATCCAGTTATGCGAAAGGTTCAGAAAA